CCTGTACTAAGAACTCATAATGTATAGTGTATTTGCTATAAATCCAACTTTAATCTCAACCAAACTCCTTCTTATCCTTATATTGTGGAGAAGGATTTAAGAAAAGCAAAGTTCAAAAGATTGACAGAATAACTTTACATTCATATAATTATTTTGTTTTCTGGTCTCTGGTCTGGCCTAAAATACAAAAAAATAAAATGAAAAAAAATCTGATTAATAATGACTTTTTTCTTCCATTACCAATATGGTACTATATCATTGACTAATTGAAGATATAGGCCACTTGGTAGTCTGTCAAATCTGTCACATAACACATATGTCTGTAATACATTTATAGACTGTCAGGCTGTCAGGTTACAGAGGAAGGCTGTGCTTCTTTGGCCTCAGCTCTGAGCTCCAACCCCTCCCATCTGAGAGAGCTGGACCTGAGCTACAATCATCCAGGAGACTCGGGGGTAAAGATGCTCTCTGCTGCAATGGAGGATCCACAGTGGAGACTGGACACTCTCAGGTTGGTTGTGTTGGTGTACAGTTGCAGCTTATTCACAGTGTGGATTTGTATTTTTTTGCTAATCATTTCTTATGTCGCTTTGGCCTTAGTTTTGACCACGGTGGAAGACATTGCTTGATACCCTTCATGTGTAAGTTGAGCCTTTCTGATGTATTCTTGAAGTAACTGATTTGATTTGCCTCAGTGCTTCAGTATGACCACATTGCTTTGCATAATCTAAAATAAGTATAATTACTAAACATGGCTTGACTTTCCATCACATTTCAGTTAAATCAGATACCATTTTTGAGGTATCCTGCTAACAATTAGACAAAGAATGACAACATACACAACCCTTTCTGGAAGAGTTCATCTTCAACAAATTAATCATGAACTAACCAGAACATGTCAAAGTAAAATCTGTCTATATTGTTTCTTATTCTACCCATCAGATGCCTGTGAAGTCACACTGGACCCAAACACAGCAAACAGGAAGCTCTCTCTCTCTGAGGACAACAGGAAGGTGACAGAATTGCAAGAGGAGCAGCCGTACCCTGACCATCCAGAGCGATTTCACCACTGGAAGCAGGTTCTGTGTAGAGAAGGTCTGAGTAGTAGCTGCTACTGGGAGGTGGAGTGGAAAGGATGGGTTAATGTAGGGGCGACATACAGGGGAATCAAAAGGAAAGGGGAGTGTGACGACTGTTGTCTTGGCGAGAACAACAAATCCTGGGGTCTCTTCTGTTCTGGTAATGGATACTCTGCCTGTCACAACAAGAGAACAACAGACATACGGGGTATCCACTCCTCCTTTGACGCTGGTAGAGTAGCAGTGTATCTGGACTGGCCCGCTGGCACCCTGTCCTTCTATAGTGTCTCCTCTGACACACTGAGCCACCTCCACACCTTCCACTGCACATTCACTGAACCCCTCTATCCTGCCTTCAGGTTTAAGTTAAGCTCTGCATCTGGTGCTTCAGTGTCTCTGTGTCAGTGTCAGGAAGGAGAATCACTTCCAGGGTAGAGAAACCCACACTGCCTCTAAAAACAAATGCAAAAGCCACAACACGAAAAGAGGCACAATGCGAACGTGTCTTTTGCATTGGTTTTGTGGCTTTTTACATTTGTGCTTTTGCAAATGCATTGTGCATTTGCCCAATTTCTCTCTTAAACAACTCTCATTTTATTAATTCATTTAGCCAACAGTTATCTGCCAGCTGATTGTATTTACCTACTTTATCACTAAACAAAAAAAGTATATGGAATTGATAAACCTACACCTGTTATTTCATATATTTAAAAAATACTGGAAATAATGGTAAAACAATAGAAAAACTCCAAAATGCTCAGGAGGTTCACATACTTTCAAGCAGTACTCTATACAATATGTAATATTGCCTCTGACCACTAGAGGGCAGAATGGCACCAAACAGTATGGTGTTTTCACTGTGATGGAAGGTGTAGGGACCATGATGAGGATTTTAGGTGGAGTGAGCACTTTATTTACCAAACTGGGATGATGGAATCTTCAGCATCTGAGGGACTCATTGGCTTCTAATGCTCAGCTACTTAACTGTGCAGCTTAAAGAGAAAGCATTGCTTGTCAAGTTCAGAGACTTTAGCTCTGTAATATAATCCAAACCCAGTGGTTTAATGGAATTAATGAAAAGCTTAAAGAACATGGGGTTCCCAGATTTGTGTACACTCTTTATATAAATTGTTGATATTATGAGCAACAGATGCACCAACAGACATATTAGAAAATGTCTTTACAATTCTAGGAAAATAACACCAAATGGAAAATCTTTTTGGAAGTTGGAGCTTGTTTCTTTTAGATTCTGCATCACAAAGAAAATTGCAAATATTACACAAAATAAGTCCAACAAACAGTTTCAAGATTCTTAGATGTTGATAACAAATACTTTCTGCAAGACTGATCAATAAAGATCAACTCATCTGTTCTATTGTATTACATTTCAGAAAGACTTTACTTATTTTGAATGTAATGATAATTTATGCACTATTGTTAACTTTAAAATTGTATTGTATAGTACCAAAGCTAAATGTCTTAATTCAACCCAATTTCATTCTTATATTTGTAAAAAAAATAATCACCTTTTGATTTCTATTATAATTTTTTTCCCTCATTGTATGTACATTATTTTAAATAAAAATATTGATTCTTTAAATAGTAAGGACGCCCCCTTGTGGTTTGAACTGACAACTGCAACTCTGTGCAGATAATCTAGTTTTAACTGTTAATGAACACTACAAAACTAGATTATAATGATCTGTTAATTCTGTCATTTTTGTGCACTCTTGATAGCTGTTACATTTATACCCTTATATTTGAGAACAAATCAATTGCAAGAAGAAATCATTTACTTTTTTAAATAATATTTTATTTATACAAATATCCTAGGTTTTGCAGCACTGACATATGAAGATGAATTGATTACAGCAACTGTGGGAGCACTTTATCACTGGAGAAGAATAGAGTATCAACATACATTTTTACATTAATTTCCCCCAGAATCAAAACAGAAAGTGTCATCAAAGTGACAGCCTGAAGTTTATCTATTGATTGGATGTTGAGTATATAATCCAGATGCTGCAAGACAAAATCAAGACGAGACATGAATATCAGATAATAAAGATATCAAGATCAGATAATAAAGGACGTTCCCATGAGACGGCTAGATCCTTATTGCTTCTGCATATTCACAAGTTTCCTGTAAAAACAGGCAGGTAGGGAGGGACTTGTACTGGGAACTCCCAGTTTAATTACTAGGAATACAGTACCGAGGTGGGTTTCTAGCCGGGGTTTGCTCCTGGCACCTAGGGGTTGAGTCAGCTAACAGTTAGTTTACTTACTCTGTAAACAACCTCAGTACTGTATTCCCTGTTGGTATTGGAGGCTGTATCCGGTCCCGTTCCATTGCTTGCTAACGGAAGGTACAATTAGCTAGTTAACGGTTAGCTACTTTAGCAAGTAAAGCTATCTGTCAATCAAGAAACTCTGTAAATCACAGAGAGTTGAAGCTGAGCAGCCGGTGGTCATCAGAGGTAAAACCAGAAAATATTTTCTCTATGGAATATGTATATATCCTACAAACTGGTCCTTTAAGGCCCAGGCATACCAGAAAGTACCACGGAGATATTCAACCTTTTTGCTAAATACTCAGTTACCGAAGCTTGGTAACAGTGACAACTTGTAGAGTAACTGCTGCTAGCGAGCTAACTGCTAACACACTAGGTTTGTCTCCTGGAATATGCTAGTGCTAGTCAGTCACAAAAGCTCCCTTTCAATTTTTTATGTACATGGTCATTTACTCCCCCGACATTGTGTGCTTGGCATTGTAGAGAGTTGTACTGGAGAGGGCAGAAACTTGTTTGAGATAACAAGCTTGTTAACTGCTAGTGAACAGGACAATGAGTTCACACAGTTTACCTTTTTACGGCATATTTGTATCATGTTTCAGAACTTTCCATTGCATTGGCGTTGCAGGAGAAATGTCAGTGGTAGATATCTCACTCAGCAGAAGGAAAATAAAAGAGAGAGAGAGAGAGAAAATATCATATATTGTTATCCAGGGGAGCTGACCTTTCAAGAAGTCTATCAAGTACTACCTTCAAATGAGTCATCTGAGGGAGTGTTTCTTTATAGAAGGTGGTAACGTAGGATTCAATGACACACAGCAAAATGACTTCTCTTCACATCAAATTCATCACAAAGACACTAATTAACATTGACTGTATAACCCCCCCAAAACCTTTACTTCAAATATCAATCAACCAATCTGATTGGTTTTATAGATCTCCAATCTAGAGTCAAGAGAGGTCAACTGCAACCTTTGTGATTTGCTTCACAAATTTCCACTGTATCATAGTGACATCTTCAGGTTGACTTTTGTAAATTACACTATAAACCTATAAACCTATAAACCAAAAATAATGTTTGGATGCCAGCCCTCAGTTTGAGTGTATGTCACTGCTTGCAGTCTCACATGAGGTCCAAAGGTCCAGTCACAGTGGCTACTCAGCCAGGTTGGTCCATCCAGGAACGGAAAGGTCAAAGGTTTAATCCCAGTACATTGAGAAAATCAGTGGACTAGTTGTTGAAGATCTTGTTTCCAGAAAGGTTGAACCATCGTTCCTGTTAACAGCATGTGGATGAAGCAGCAACCTCCACAGATGAAACCAGTGCCTCAAGATGCGATTCCTCTAGTGGCCACTAGGTGGTGAAAGGGAAAACCTCAAGTTTTGCTTTAGAAATAGAAACTAGGCACATTTTTAGAGTGGCTCATTTTGAAAATTCTGCAAAGAAGATATTAAGACCCAGGGTTTTCCCACATTTGGATATTATGGCTCCATCAACTGACAATAAGGGCAGAGAGCCATAAACCCAAACACCAACTTTTATAATCCTCTTAAATATGTATCTCTGATTGAACCTTTAGGTTTTTATGTGTTTATGTAGCTATGTCTTTATGTACGTGCGTTATTCTTCTTTTTTTGTCACTTCCCAGCCCTCTGGTTCTCATCCCTCGTGGGGTCACCTCCTGGAAACATCTCTGGGTTCTCTGCCAGAGTGGCTCGCACTCTCTTCTTCTCCTTAAACCTCCCAGAGTGAGACACCTTAACATGGCGCCCCTTGCTGGCCGTCGTTTTGTCCACGATCCTCTCCAGCCGGGCGTCCAGCTGAGAGTTGTGCACCATGTCTTCTGGGTGGGCGGCGGCTCCGGTGGCAGTGCCGGACCCGTGCTGGACAGTGGCGGCGTTGGAAACAAACTCTGCTGGGATTTCATACAGAACCTTGGGCTGGGATTTTTTTCTCCTGAGGAAAGTTAGCTTCCACCAGCCTGGGGACGGCTCTGCCATGATGGATGAATGATGGGATGGATGAAGGGCTGAGGAGGAGAATAAATAGGGTTAAAGGAAGGTTAAAATAAAGAGAAAAATAGAAGATTGTTGGGATTAAAAAAGAATCATCTGCAACCCGCAAACAATGCATGTATGTGGGTGCACCTGTCTTTATTTGAATATCTATCTCTGTGTTTGTTTTGTGTGTGTGTGTATGTTTGTCGGAGCACCTATCTATCCACCCATGACACTGTTAATATTTCAGTGTAATTCAATAGTCTCCATATGCTGTGGATGCACATATACTCAGGTTACCGTGTGTGTGTCAGTGTGTCACATCAGAGTGTGTGTGTGTGTGTGTGGGTGTATAAAAGAGAAAGAGAAGCATATAGGAGGACAGTCTAATGGGTATGTGAGTGTGTATGTATATTATGTATGTGTGTGTGTGTGTGTGTGAGGTATCTTCTGAGAGATGATAAAAACATAACTAAAAAAGACATCTCATCATCTATCTAATAATTTTATCTGAGGGATTACAAAGACAGTTACAGCAATAACAGAATATGCTGTACTATATGGCCAAATGTATGCAGACACCTGACATTGCAGCCATAGTGGGCACTGTAAGGTGGTGCAGGGTGGTGCATAGGGACCGTGAGCCATTATGACTTTGCCTTTAAAACAATAGTTCCAGTACATTACCCCCTTAAATCCATAAGCAATTCAATTTCAAACAAATGAAATATAACATGTTCATTTTTGAGCTTTAGAGGTGCTGGAAGGTGAATGCGCGTGGTGTAGCTCTATGTTGGCCTGTTGTTGGTGCATCTACCACTCTCTCCAGACTGAAATATCACAACAACTATTGGATGGATTGCCATGAATATCCATGAAAGCCAGAGGATGAAATTTGGGGAATTTGGGGGAATTTTGCTCTTGCTGAGCCTTTGATACTTCCTGTAGTGCCACCAGCGAGTCAGCGTTTTTATTTATTCTGTGAAATATCTCAACACAATTTATGTTTTGTTTTTTTAATTAGCAAATGTTAGCATGCTCACACAATGAACTAGCAATGATAGCATTTAGCTCAAAGCACCATTTGGTCTAAATGCAACCTCACGGAACCGCTAGCATGGCTGCACTCTCTAAGGGCCCTATTTAAACTATCTACAGTGTATGGTCTCAAGTGCATGGTGTGTCCAACAGTGCATAATCTCTATACAGATTTTGAATTTAGTTTCTTAAGTAATTATAGGTGTGTTTTGGGCACAACGTGAATTAAATGAAATCTCCCATTTCCTTTGAAAGCCATCTGTGCCTACTGAGAAGTAAACCGTTTTCTGCTGAGGAAACGGAGCTGCTTGTGTGCTCCATCTGACAGGAGATTACAGATGTCTGCTACAGCAGGGCGATATAAGCGAAGTTTACTGCAGCAATCGTCTTCGCTGAGTGACAGGTATGTGGTCCTTGGCCACTGGACTGTCTCCCACCACTTTCTCCCAATCCTCCTTTCAATCCCAAACTCCATTCGACTGCATATGAGCAAATGCACTGATATTTAACTTAGGAGAAGGAGCACTGCTGCGTGTCCCTGCGTGTGTAACAAACAGAGTGTAGTTGAATACACGTGTTGTGAACCTGCCCATGTAGGTGCATCATATTATCTGAATAATGGGCCCTTCAAATAGCAGATGAAAATGTTTTTGTTGGTCAACAGCACAATCACATTCTGCTGCCTCAGGATAGCAATGTGCCAACAAGACAGCTTTTGAGACCAATACGTCCATGGACGCAGAGCTGGGTGCAAGTAAATTTGCTGCTTACGCAACGTGGACAAAAGGCGTTAAAATGACAACTGGGTGCAAAGTTAAGTTAGGGCCCCAAGTCCTGTTTAACTTTGGACAGAACCATGCTAGTTTGTCCTTGCTTACGGCAAGTCGCTAACAGGGATTTATGTTTACTCCTAGGCCATTAACACTATGAGTAACCAACAACAAGGAAATTAAGAGTCAAAATGGTGCAAATGATCCAATAAAGATGTGACCTATTACAGAGATCATCTTACACTTTGGTTAACTGTTCCATTATTTGGGCTTTAAAAAGATCAACGTAACTGCCCCAGCTGGCATGCAAACTGGCTTCAGGTCAGCTCCTGATTGCCTTCTGGCTCTGGGGCAAGTTTTTATAGCAGCTGAGCAAACAGAAACTGAACCACATTGTTTTATTGTTTCTTTTCTTCGTCCTCTCTCACTCTCACTCTAGCGCTCTCTTTTTCTCTGTTCCATGAAGACGTGATATGCTCAGATAACTGATCATTGTTTGGCTACCTTTGTCCCTTTTCATGCAGATTCTATACAACTTTGAAGTGACGGTGAGTATCGACTTCCTAGCTCTGTGCGTGACTGCCTTTCAGTGGGAGGGAGTGTGGGGGAGCAGCCATTTTGTTGCTTGTGGTGCAGAAAACAATCCATTTAACAATCCAAACAGAACATTTAGAAAATAATGTTTTTAAGATTCAGTGTTCCTTTTGTGGTGCTATGTGGGCTCAGTACACCTCTAGAGTCAGAATAAACAGTCGCAGATGGCTGCATGCTGTAAGGTCTTTGTTGTGACAGTGGAACAACAGTCAATGTAAACATTACTAACATTTCGGCCTTTAACATGACATTAGTCTTAAGCGTGGCCAAAGTTAGATTTGAGGTGACTGTATAGCAGGCTGACATTACTGTATGGCTGAAATTAGACATTCATTGTCCTCAGAGGAGGAATCATACTGCCGTTGGTGATCACCTGACTTTTGCTCTAGCGCCACCATTAACTTAGTTTTTAATGAATATCTCAACAGCTAATGGATAGGTTGCCATGGAATTTGGTACAGATATCTATGATGCCAAGATGATTAATCCTAACGGCTTTGATGATCTTCTGAGCTCAGACACAGTACAGCAGGTCAAAAGTTTGGTTTGGTTTACTAATTTGGCAAAGTACTTGAAAAGCTAATGATATTCCCATAAGTCTTAGCTTTACTTTGTGTTCTGTGCTAATTGCCAAATGTTGAAATTCGGTAAAAAGTATACTTGCTAAACACCAACATGTTAAGACTGTCGAAACACTGTTGCTGCACCTATTGCTGTGTTTATGTCTGTGTGTGTATGTGGATTGCTATTCTATTTCATTATTTATCTTTTATAAGCTACTCTTTGCTCTTGTTATTTTTTATTCTGCTCTTGTTATTTTTTTATTCTGTCCTTTCTGTATGCTGTTGCAA